AGTCTTCAGCGAATGCTACCTACTAAAATTCACATCGATTTTTTTTTTCCCCTCTAGTGAATTAGGAATCTGTGAACAATGATTTTAGTAGTTGAGGATTCTGGAATCCCAACTAATTCTATATAGAGAGACTCCCTAGAGGTCTAATTATAATACTTACATGTATTAGTTTGTGGAGCGTCTCATCTTGTTGGGGTTTATTCCAACATAAATGGCTTTATTTTTCCCCACTCATTGCTTTCTACCATATTGTACTGAATCTTTCCTTCCCTGCTGGGAAGCAAGTTCCTTAGCAACATCTAATTTCCTGTCCTTTTCAATTATTAGTATAGTCTCTTTTGGCTATTAAATACCTAGTTCCATTCATCTGAAAAAAAATTTATCACAAACTTGATTCAAAGCGTTATCTCCCTCAGTTATTCAAAGGTGTGTGTACATGTGTGTATTTGTGCGTGGACATTGAGTGTATCCACGTGTTTTGTGGGTATCTGGGTTTGCATGTATGTGGTGTGTGAATGTGTATGCATGTAAATACATGCACATGCTGTGGACACATTTGTATGTATATGTGAGAGCGTGTGTACTAGGTGAATGTGTGCATGTTAAAGTGCACATATGTGTGTGTGTTCTAGTTCTGAGATACCTTTCCTTCCTCCTTCTTGAACCAAGTTCTTTAGGAGTGACATAAGTGGAGCCTCTGGACAGTAAGGTCAGTGTTGGGGAGCTCCAGCTGCTGGGGACTTTCTCTAGAATGCCAAATACTCAATGACCTTAGTTTTGGGTCAGAGTAGAGTTTCATGATGCAGAAGCAGGATGCTTGTTCCATACAGATTGTAACGTGTACCCATGTATCAGAAGACTCTGACAGATGGACATTTAGTGTAGACCCTTAAGACATCAGGGCACCCTCTGCCATCCTCTTCCTGTGCAATCACAAAACCCAGTAGCCTATAACAAGCACAAAGAAGTCCAACCTATTCTGATTTTCCTCCATGATTGTAACTTTTATCTTTCTAAGTGTCAAATTTCAGAGTTTAAATAATCATGGGAGTGCTCCATATTCCTTGTTCTCAAGAACAGGTCTATTTGGTGGGGAATCCAGAACCACCTCCCACTATAACTGACAAGGGTACATGAGTGAAAAAATAGAAAGTACTTGATGTGATCTACCAAAGACCTTATTTTAGTTTTTATGTGAAAATAAGATGGTAGCTGGAATGAGACTTTCTTTTCATGGGCCTGTGCTAATCAAAGAAGACAGTATTGAATCAGGCTGATTGGATTTTATGGCTTGCTCTATGATTCGGGGCAATAGCACAATCTTTCTGAGCCTCAACTTCTGAATCTTAAAATGGGGACAATAATAGTATCTACCTCATGGAGTTGTAAGAATCAGACACCCTAACTCATGTAAGAACACTGAGGCTTAAAAAAATGACATACTTCTCAAAAATGATTTATTATATATTTATTACATAAAAATCAATCCTTACATAGGAATGACATGGAAAAACAGGATATTTCATATTTTCTATATTTTTGATATTTTGATAGACATCGAATGGGTGAAGCTAGTCTTTACTTTGTGATAAAGTTAATCTTTAAATATCTTTGGGAGTGGGGAGAACGCTGTGTGATAAGTTTCTTGATTTGCTCTAGTCAGACTAACCAAAGACTAAGATGGCTGCAATACCTGTGACTTGCCCTTGATGCAAAGATCAGGCTAGTTAGCTCCCCAGCTGGGACAGACAAACTTCATCATTGCAGAAATACAGAGCCATCCACAGGCTCAGGATTGCAAATCTGGAAAGTCATTATTAAGTAGCAGATCTTGCTTCCTACCCTAACTCACCCTTATTTTCCTTCTGCTGCTTCCTGTTGGCTTATTCAGCTCTCTTTTGAAAGGCGGCCTGTTTGCAGATTGATATTGAAGAGAAAAGTTTGACCCAATGATTCTTTCCAAATAGCTCCTCAATATTTCATTTATTGTTTCAGCTTCACTGCTCTCTTACCTTCTGATTGTGCACAACGCTTATTAGCTTTATTGGCTTACCCGACTCAGATTGATTTTGTTGAATTTTCTGGAGCTGGAGGTAGACCGTTCATATATATTTATGGCCCTACATCCTTTCTATTTTTATATCCCCACGTCAAGCTTTCATTCTCAAATCCTCACAAATGCTAAATCTTAGCGGTCTTGATCTTCTCCACAAATATTTGCCAGGTTGTAATTTTTTATTTGTTATCAACAGCCAAATTTAAACAAGGCTAATCTTCTTCTAATTTGCTTCGTTTGAGCCCTAGTCTTGGTACTTAGAAAAAGCAAATGTTAATTTCTAGTTTTTCTTCCTTGTGTGTTCTCTTATCCCTCATGGGCTGTAGTTAATTTTTAAAACAATAAAAACATTTTGGGGCAGTAGAAAATGCATTTCAACTTAACTTTAAACAGAAAGCAATTGGCCAGAACTCTGACGTTTGGGGAGGGCTGGAGGACAGGGATCTGTTTGTTAGTCTGTCTGGTGAATGTCCCCCCTTTTTTATTACCCCCGAGGGTGCTCCTGAGTGACTCCCACCTGTTCAAGGGGCCTCACAGTGTCAGCCACCAAGTGACAGATACTGCTTACTCCTGGGCTCCGGGAGGCTGCAGGCAATGGGCTCAACTGTGTACTCGGCAAGGGCAGCACTTTGAGTATATGCTTGAACCTCCAAACACTGTGTGTGTTTATGTGCTGCTTGAGGGGCAGAATTTCAGACAAGAGGCCAGAATGGGCAGTGGGGGGAACTTCCAGTGGTTTTCTCAAGCCCTGATTTCACTTTCAGATAGGTGTTTCCATGGGGACTACGTGCAGGTCCTCGGAGCTAGCTGGCAGAAGCAAGGGTCCACACCCCTTTTGCTAGGGAACCCCGCTGGTAGCCGGCTGTGTTCCCTGCTCATGGCTGCTGTTTGACCAGCATTTCTTCCTCACTATCTTTCTGGCAGGGAACCTGCAGTTTCTACCTGGTCAACCAGGCTCCAGGAAGCTTGCCCAAAACACGGCAGTCCGGGCTCACCTCCCAATATTTTCAATCAGGCGTGAGCAGACTATGCCTGTGGTGTGCCAGCTTCAATCCACCACCTGTTTTTGCGAAGAAAGTTTTATTAGGACACAGCTCCATTCACTTGTTTACATAGGTTTGTGGCTGCCTTCCAGACACCATGGAATGGTTGCGACGGAGACTGGATGGCACACAAGCCTAAATCGTTTACTTTCTGCACCTTTCCAGAACAGTTTTGCTGACTCTTTTCCTAAATGGGAAGGGCTCCATGTGTGCTCTTACCAGCAGGGTGTGTAATGAATGCTTCGGTTTCATGATTTGCCTAACTCTCATTTTTACATTTAGCATAGGCTTTTAATATTTGCCAGACATTATGCTCACAGAGCAAATAATCTAAAATTACCCCTGTAGATTAGGGTGAACTCCCCACCTGGGATGCAGAGAGCCCACAGGCAGTTTTATTGTCAAGAGACATCCATTTACAGCTGGCCCTCAGTGTTGTTTCATGCAACGTCGTTTCATTACGATATCAATGAGAAAAACAAACTCCCAGCCATACTGAAAGACATGGCATTATTTGAGGAACTGCTTTCATTATACATTGTTTTGCTTAAAGTTACAGTTTCCAGGAACCTTTCCTGATGTTAGGGGTGTGTAAGGTCCGGCCGATAGAATAAGGCAAGGAGACAGATGTAAGAGAGGAGAAGGCTTTATTGCGCTCCTGGGCAGGTGGCCCGCAGGTCCCTCAGAGGGGGCCTGGGAGTTCTGCTCCCAGTTTACAGGCTGGGGGTCTTTTATATGCCCCATTCTGTGGGGCCTAGATGTTTGTGCGGCTACCTGGGGGAGGGAGTGGCAACCTTGGGCAGCATCCTGACGCCAACACAGCAGCTATCACATCATGATGCCGCCTCTGGTTACTCTTCCTTTTGCCACTCTGGGGGCCTGGGTGAGGGGAATGGATGACCTTTCCGGGAGGACTTGTCCTGGTGTGGATGCAGAACAGGCAGGAGCTCAGCTTCCATCCTAAGCCAGTTCCTCCCAACCCAGAGCTCTCCCCAACTCCGGATCTCAGTTCAAGAATATAAAACATATCACATTCCAGTAAGGATGTGCGAAGATGGAACATAATCATGGCACTTACCTTTAAGTCCAAGCACACACACACACACACACACACACACAATTAGAAGGTAGCATCAACTTTGAAGATTGGGGTGAAGGATCATATTGTAACAGGGTGGTCCCAAGGAAAAGGGGAAGTTCCAGGTTCCCTGCCCCACCCAGAAGGAGGGTGGAGCTGAGCAGAGAAAGAAGAGAGAAGAAGAGAAGGAAGCGGGATGGAGAACAAGGAGGAGACCTGAGGAAGCCACATGGAGCAGCAAGCAAGTGATGAAGAAACCGGGCTTGTTTCCTGACCCTGGACTGGTTAAGGCAGATGTGGGTGAGAGAACTGTAGGGAGGTGACTATGGCAGTGTTTATATTAATTTTGATTTTGCTCTTTCCCTCCCAGACTTGTCTGGCCATTTCTGACCCTTTTTCATGGGTCCCAGCCAGAAGGTGCTTTAGTCTTGTGGCAGCTTTCAGGCCTTGCTTTGGGCCAATCCCCTTTGGGTGGACTTTTGCCTACAAGGGGATGGGTAACTTCAGGTGTTTGATTTAGAAATTATATTCTTTGTGTTCCGTATTGTATATTCACAGTATTTAAGTCCCTTTTCATTAATTTTTATATGTTTTGTCTTGTTGCGGCGGATGGCAGAACCCACTTAGAGCAGACAGGTTTGGGGCTTCAGGGGTGCCCCTCTCTCCCTGTTGTAACAGATTTTGTCCTATAACAATATCAGAGGGGGGCCTCGCAGACACTCAGGTGTCCTCTTTACAGACGCCTGATTGGATAAGCATGAGGCTGGGTCTTACCGGCCTGGGTCTGGAGCAGCTGCACTCATTTGTCTTCTCTCGTGCCCAGTGGTCAGCCCATCCCCAGAGTGGAGTACACCGAGGAGGAAACGAAAACCTGGGGTGTTGTGTTCCGGGAACTCTCCAAACTCTACCCCACGCACGCTTGCCGGGAGTATTTGAAAAACTTCCCTCTGCTGACTAAGTACTGTGGCTACAGGGAGGACAATGTGCCTCAACTTGAAGATGTGTCTGTGTTTCTGAAAGGTAAGGGTTTACAGGCTGTGTCTTCCCAGCCAACATCCTTGTTGGTTTTCCAGTGTCACATGTTGCAGCAAAGGCCCTTTCCCAAAAAGGAAAAAACTCTTGATTTCAAAAGAGGTGCATTGAGGGAGCCTCCCTGGTGGCACAAGACCTTAAGTCGCAGCACTATGAAGCTACTGCCAGCCACTGTGGAGCAAGCTTAATCCCCTGGCCAGGGAGGTGACCCACATGGCGTGGCAGACCTCTCCTGTCTTGCCTGCTGTACCCCTCAGCAGTGTATTTCAGTCAGCCTACTTGTTCTGCTCCCCACTCTGTCTCTGGTGAATCCTCTCACCACCCCCACACCTCTGGTCTGTACCCCAGTTCTTGTAAGTATAAATAAATAAATCTTTAAAACAAAACAAAACAACCAAAAGAGGAGCCTTGAGCCAACAACTACCCGGGGTCACTGCAGTGAGCAGACAGGGAACTCTGGGTGGTGAGGTGGATTCAGTTGTTTCTGTAGCTCTGGGACTCAGTGAGGTCTCTCTGTGTTGTGAGCTATGGCAAACCCCATTGGCTATTAGCAAGTTCAGCTTTTGAGTTTTTTTTTTTTTCCTGATCTGGTAGCTCTTCTGTTGTACTATCTCAGTAAGCTGACTTTATTTGCTTTGCTAAAAATATCACTGATGAAACAAAACATAACAGAAAACAACCACTGACAAGGTTAAACACTAATGACCCACCCAACTTTCCAAGGTTATCTCCCCTGCTCAGAAAGCCTCTGTTTTAGCTGGGGGCTCTCTGTTCCTTTACTCAGGCCCTGTCTCTTGCTAGAAAAATTATCCCTTTGCCACCTACTCAAATTCTACCTATTTTTTAAAAATGATTTATTTATTTATGCATATGTGAACTGGGGTACAGGCCAGAAGTGTGTGTGTGTGTGGGGGGGGCAAGAGGATTCACCAGAGACAGAGTGGGGAACAGAACTGGCAGATCTACTGAAATACACTGCTGAGGGGAACAGTGACAAGATAGGAGAGGTCTGCCGTGCCCTGTAGGTCACCTCCCTGGCCAGGGATTGAACTCATGCTGCAGTGGTTGTGCCAACAGTGAGCCTCCTCAAATCTACCTATTCTTCAAGATTCAGAGCAAGCCCTTTCTCCTCTGTGAATCCCAGTCAGCACAACCAGCATGACCTCTGCTATCTCTGGCTTCATTCCAGATCATATGTACCAGGCCATGAGGCATGGTCTTCCCCCAGGACCGTGCCTGTCATGGTGGGAGGGTCCCCATAGTGAACACCATCCTCAGTATTTGTGACTGAAAGAATTTGAGAACTACTGATCAGCTTCCCTTCATTAGCTCCTAATTACAAACTGCAGTGCTTCATGCTGGTAACTGGATTATATTCTCCCTCATGGCTCTACCACGACTCACCCTCTTGATTCCCACGGACTGATGTGCGTATTATATAGTTACGATGGACGAGATTGCTCATGTATGGGGATTGCTTATTTATTGTGTTGTTTCTCAAGTCCCAGTAATTAGACTACCATCCCACCATTTTTACTATATTTGTCACCTGATGTGTGGGAGGTGGTGTGATCCAGGAGACTAGTTGCCTTCACCTCTCTGTGCCTCAGTGTCTTCTAGGAGGAAGATCATTTCATCTATCTGTCAAGGTGGACAGGAGTAGAAACGAATGTTCTATCTCATAGCCCTGGTTATTGCTCGATCCACTGAAATCCACAGCAGAGCCTTAGTTATAATGATGGTTGTTGCTGCTGCTTTTTTCACAGTCCTTGGTACCAGATGCCAGGAGAACTGTCTGCCTCATTACTGACACTTAGCAAGCACCATCTCAATGTATGTGTTATTTCTCTTAAATGATTCACTTAAAAATATCGATTTACCTTAAAAAGGGAAGATTTTAAACAATGGTATCCACAAATTCAAAGTTCTTGACATGATAGTTACATACTTTAAAAAATTATATAAAATTACATAAATGAATTACATAAACTTACATAAAATGAAGCATTTTACTCCCTCTCATGTCCCACATATGGGATATACTGATTTGACAGACATAAGATAGAAAAAGAAGAAAAGGCCCTCCCTGGTGGTGCAGCGGGTTGGGTTGCAACAGTGTGAAGTTGGCTGTGGCTGTTTCAGTGCAAGTTTGATCCCCACCCCAGAGCTGACCCACATGGCGTGGCAGACCACTCCTGCCCCGCCCGCTGCTCCCCTCAGCAGTGTACTTTGTCAATCTGCCTGTTCTGCTCCCTACTTTGTCTCTGGTAAATTCTCTTGCGGCCCCTGTACCTCTGACCTGTACCCTAGCTCTGTATGCATAAGTCAAAAAATTAAATAAAAAAAGAAAACACACGTACCTATTCTATATCAGATGGGGATTGTGGAAAGTAGAAGTTTCAAGAGTATACACAACACTGTTAGAATTACTGATCCGAGGAGGCAAATTCCCTGAGAACAGGGAAATTTCCATGAGATTCCAGAAATCCTAGGATGGACATGTTTTATAATCTTAATTGGTTTTGTCCTTAAAAATAATTTCTAACTCTATGGTGATGGCACATGGGTGATTTGGTAATAGGAAGCCCACATGGATTACAACTGAGATGGAAAAAGGCACAGAATGATGTAAAAATAAACTATTATATTATTAAAAAAAAAACCAATAACAAAAAAAAATTCTAACTATTCTGAGCTACTATCTTCATGACTTGAGATTTTCAGAATGGGAAATTAGAAATGCTGGTGTCAGAGATAAGAACAGCTTTTCTGTTGTAAAATGTTCAGGTTTTTAGGAGAATGGAGTTTCAGGTAGCTTTTAAAACTGAAAACACTGAGGACATACAGTATACTTGAGTTAGCAGTGTAAGGTGATTGCATAGACTTTATGGTGGTCTGCTTATTTTGGTTCTTCTTAGTATAAACTAATAGAACACAGAGATAGAGCTTTAGTGTACCTCTTCAGCTTGCCATGATTAATATGATTGTTTGCATAATATCACAGAAAACAACAATATACAAAGGAGCTAGTGGTGTCTATCCTAATGAGCTATAGTATGAACTGATTCCAAGACGCTAGAGAAGGGGATGGATTAACTACATAGTAAATGACCACAGACATGCAGAAGGGATCCCTTCCTGTCTGTGCTGTTCAGAAAGATAGCAGGTAATATACATGGTAAGTATTGTTTTAGATTATAATCTCCTGTGGATCTGAGATTTCTTATCCTAATTTGGGTTCGGAATTTAAATCCTTATTTTTTTTCACCTTTCTTTCCATTTTAATGTATGTCTCATTTCCTGGAAGCCATCATTTCAGAGTGTATTTTAGTCACCAGAAGCCAGCAACATGATAGCTGTTAACGGTATATGTCACTCAACTGTCTCTAGTTTTGAGATCTTGATTACTTTATTTCTAGAACATCTGTATAAATAGGAAGCCCTCTTCAAGAACTCCAGTCCTAACAGGTTAATCTTCAGTTTGCTCTTTCTGTTGCCTCTTTAGAAAGATCTGGCTTCACAGTGAGGCCAGTGGCTGGATATCTGAGTCCGAGAGACTTCCTGGCAGGACTGGCCTACAGAGTGTTCCATTGTACTCAGTACATCCGGCATGGCTCGGACCCCCTCTACACCCCGGAACCGTGAGTACCTGCTCTGGAAGCTGAGGCTAGGCGGAGACCCACACACAGTGACGTGGCTATTGAAAGTCACTTAGGTTTCTTTTACCTCAGAATAATTCATCTTTGTAGCCAGTGAGAGCCACAGTACTCGACTGCAGACATGAGGGCTGAGGGAAAGGCCAGACTGGGTGTGGGGGCCTCCGATATTCTCATTATAACTTGGCTCTCTAACTTTTTTCCAAGACTTAACCTACTTTGGCCCACCAGTTAGTGACATAAAACCTTAAACCATGGATTTCTAAAACTGATCCATATAGGCCAGTAAGATGAAGTAGTGTTGAAAAAAAAATAGGTTTCACCCAGAAAGCCTTGTAGTGAGAATAATTCTTACATGCCAGACTGTTGCTCTCATTAACTCATTTCATCTACACAGCAACCCTGTGGTGTAGGTGCTGTTTTTATCTCCATTTTTATTGAGGAGGAGATGAAGGCACAGAGTAGTAAACTCTGACACACGTGCCTGTCCCATGAGGAGGTGCTCTCCTGTTAATGAGGTTCATGAACACATGCACAGTTCCTGTTACAGTGAGGTAACCCCAGGAGCACCACGGGACCCCCAAACCCGCCTGCTTTAAATAGTTTCTGCCATCCGCTGTATCAAGACAAAACAAGACCTCTAATGGAAAGGAACTTTAATATAATTTGCGTGCAACAAAGTGAAGAGATGGCAAAGATAAAGAATATAGTTTCCAAATCAAGCACCTTAAGTTACCCGTCTCCTTGTGGGTAAGTGCCCAGCCAAACAGAGTTGGCCCAAAGCAGGACCACTGAGGCCTGAAAGCCTGTCACAGTCGAAGGCATCTCCTGGTGGGGACCCAGAGGAAAGGGGCAGAAGGGGCCAGGCAAGCCTGGAAGGAAAAGAGCAAAATCAAGATAAAGCCGCCATTGGTAACCTCCCCACCAGCCTCACCCATGTCTGTTTCAAGGGTCTCCTTCCATGTCCCCCAAGTGCCTGGCACAAGCCCGAGGCTGAGAAGCAAGAGCAGCTTCTTCTCTGCTCCTTGTGCCTCCTCCCAGTCTCCTTCTGGTCTCCATCTTTGTCCCTTCTTTCCCCAGCCTCCTCTCAAAATTCTCCCTGCTTGGCAACATCCTTCCTTGGTGGGGCAGGGAAGCTGGGACCTCCGCTTTCCCTGGGACCACCCTGTGACACTGTTTGGGACTCCTTTCTCCTTCAGTCTTTCTCATCACCCTCCTCCTCGGGGCTGTGTGCTCTGCTCTACCAGCTGCCTTAGTTTTCTGCAGGTTCCACCAGGCCTCCCCGCCACCTCTAGATGTAGATGGGGCTTGTGAGCCTTCTTTGACTTTGTCAGTCCCCGTTGGGACTTTCATCCTTTCCCTCCTGGCCGGTGGTCTGGCTAAGAGAACAGCGAGAAGCAGTATGCTGCATCATACTGCTGTCACATGTGGGCAGCAGGGGGACCTGTGGATCCCCGAGTGTGAATAATTTGGCTGCATGCCACATGTGTGTGTAAAAACTCCAGGTAAACCACCCAAATTTACCAAATTATCCACTGCCTTCAAGGCCAACAAGGGTTCTGTCTTCCCTGGGAGACTGCTCCCTGGAACAGTTACTCTTTCCTCAACCTCTGTCATTTTCTTTCCTTATTATCCATCTTTGCCTATATTTAACCCAGCTAGCTATTAACCTTTTGACCCCAGGGTCCCAAGAATATGCATTGCATGAGTGAGGTGTGGGGCATACCTTTCTGGATACTCAGAAGTTAGTCACCTACCATTGGCTTAAAAATGGCTAAACATTTTATTTATTTATTTTTAACTTATTTATGCACACAAGAAATAGGGTGTAGGTCAAGGGTGGGATAGAGATGAGAGGACTCACCAGAGACAGACTGGGGAGCAGAACAGGTGGGTCTACTGAAACACACTGTTGAGGGGGAGCAGAGAGCGAGATAGCAGAGGTCTGCAGTGCCATGTGGGTCACATTCCTGACTGGAGATCAAACTCAGGCTGCTGTGGCTGTGGATAGCTTCACAGTGCTGAGACTTAACCCCTGTACCATGAGAGAGACCTCTAAACATTTTAAATTTGTGTCTTGTACCTTCTCTAAAAGGGTAACCGACTTGAGAAGTAGTGCCCTGTATTATATTTCCTTGTGTGCTTAAAAGAAAAAAAAAAAGAACAAACACTTATTGGAAGACAACTATGTACTTGGCTTGTCTGGGAATAAGACAAGGTCCCTGTTCTCCTGAATGAACAGAGGAGACACCAATGAGAGTCAGTGTGTAGACAGTGAGGTGATATGCTTCACGTGCATGGGAAGTATTGTGCTAAGTGCTCAAAATCAAATGCTGCATTCGGGAGATGAAGCATGGTGGGTGCTGCTGCTTTGGACTGAGTCCTTCAGGGAGGTGACAGTGGAGCAGAGGCCTGCTTGGATGAGCACATGTGTGGGTAGAACATTCTAGGTAGAGAGAGAAGAGCAAAAGCTGGATGCTGTCTTTGGTTATCTTCTTCCTTGGGAGCCATTCGAATGAGTACCTACCCCCAATGTTCCCTGATGTACTAACTCACTTGTGATATAGTGATTTAGAATAAGAATTACATATTTAGTTTTTATTCTCATTTCTAGCACAGAGGTTCTAAACTTTTAGAATTTCCCAAGTGGGCCCTCCCGGTGGTACAACAGGCTACAACGCAGCACGGCAAGTTAGCTGCAGCTGCTTCAGTGCAAGTTCGGAACCCCACCCCGGAGGTGATTCAGTCTCGCCTGCTGCTCCCCTCAGCAGTGTACTTTCTCAGTCTGCCTGCTCTGCTCCCCACTCTGCCTCTGGTGAATCTTCTCACTACTCCTACACCTCTGGCCTATACCAGAGGTATAAATAAATAAATCTTAAAAAAAAAAAAAGAATTTTCTAAGTGGTGAGCTGGTAACCTCTTTTGTAGGGTTAACAAGGTGACTTTTGGAATGCCCCTGGGTCTCTTAAGAATGGGGCTTTTATCTTGTTAACTTCCTGGGAGGGAAGAGGGGTTGAAATTGTTTGCTGGCAACCTACCAGGTTGGTGTAAAGCAGTCTTCTTAGAAATCCTAAAGGACAGGGTTGGGAGAGTTCCTGGCTGGTGAGCAAGTGGAGAATCAAGGTGAGTGGCCTGAATTCAGAGCAAAAATGGACACTTCTGTTCTCATCTGCACACCTGCCCTATGTATGGCTTTCACGGGATGTTCATGTGTATCTTTTTATAAATGAAATTAAGTAGTGTTTTCCAGAGTTCTGTGAGCAACTCAAGCAAATTGTTGAATCTAAAGAGAGGTATGAGGGAAGCTCAGGCTTATAACCAGCTGATCAGAGGTCCAGGTGATACCTGTGGCAGATATCTGAAGGGGTGGGGGAGGGCACTCTTGGAGGACTGAGCCATTCGCTGGTGGAATCTGATGGTGTCTTTGTGCATGGTATCAGGATTGATTTCAATTGTGGCTATGCAGCTGGTGTCAAATAATTGCTCCCAAGTGGTGGGGAAACCCCTCCTCCATAGAAATTGGCTCTAGGAGTCCAAACCAGCACAGTTCTTCAGGCCACCAGGGTTATCACTTTGCTTATGATACTGTTTCACTTGAACAATCCTGTGATTGATAGATGGCACCAGTCTGTGCTGGGAGCAGAGAGTCCTGGGAGGTTCCAGCAGTTAACTAGCTGATGGCGGTGGAAGTGGGCAGGGATTGGAGTGGATTCTCCTGACACCCCTTGTCCTCTTAGCAGGCTGTGGTCCACTGACAGTTTCGGTCCCTGTGGGTGTCACTGCATTTTTTTTTTTTTAAGCTCCTTTCAGTTTCCCTGAAAGTGCTTTCTGAGTAAACAAAGGTTACTTATAGGACTCAAGACAATTGGAAAAGAAATGCTTAGAGTGGAGTGAGTGCTCAAAGGAGCATTGTCTGAGTTAGAAAGGCAATCTCTAAATCTAGCCCACAGGGGTTACAAATGGCCCTGTTTACAAATAGCAGGCACTCTGTTAGTTGCCATTGAAGAACAGGCGCTCCTGAGGTCTGTGCCGGCATGCCAACAGGTATGCAGAGAGTGAGGGCAAAGAAATGAGATTTTAGCCACAGCGATCTATAAAATTTGGGGATAATGTGTTACATTTTTGCGAAAATACTTTCAGCCAATCCATTCAGCAAACATTTATGTGCAGTGGTAGCAGGGGGTACAGCGGATTCAAACATGAATAAAATACAGCAGCAGTTTTTAAAAATTAGCTCACGGTCTGGCGGGAAAGAGAGAAACAAATAATTGTGAGCATGTGGCCAGGGTCCTCGTGGAGTGAGAGGGGACAGAGGAGGGGCGATCCTGAAAGGCTTTGTAGATAAGGATAAATTGAGTGGTGGTGGGGGAAGGGTGAGCAGGAATTTTTCCATTGGACAAAGCAGGAAAGCAGGGAGGGGAGAGAGGGAAACGGCAGGGGGCGTCATTGAGCAAGGCTTACTGCTCGGGGGGTGGACGGAGCACAGGTTATGAGCTGGGGATGAAATGTTTCTGCTGTCTGCAATGGGAAATGTGATTTCTCAAACTAGCACATCTGGGCTTTAAGATGGTAGGCAAGGAAGCTAACCAAGATTCTTAAGCAGGAAGGGATAATTGTACTTGATAAAGATGATAGGGGGGAGGGGCAGTGGGGAGGCAAAGGAAATGTGGAAAGCAGAGCTAGTGGGAAGAACAGCCAGAGGGCTTACATTCCTGTGAAGGAAACTCACTGATCAATGAGCTGAGCTAGAGAAGTTCAGCAGGATAAAACGAGAGGGCATGGTACAAACAGCATCATTCTGATGGCGTTAATAACATTTAGTGACTGCTGAGACCAAGAAGGGAAGGTCTCTAAGGTTATGCTGAGGTTTTTAATAGGAAGAGGAATGGGCGTATTTCTAATAATGAGTGAGAATATCGGAGGAGGATCAAGCTTAGAGGAAAGGAGGAGAGAAGAGGAATTTGGGTGTGGGGCATTTTGTCTTT